TGCATTGCGATGGATCATGGGGACCTTTTACGAGAATGTCGGCATATGCTACTCGCCATCTCGTCGCAAATCAGTATTCTTCTGGCCGGACTGCAACGTCTTGAAGGTCAGCAGCGGCATCCACAGCCGCCACCCCCGCCACCAGTTCCTGACCGCCACCCCCGCCTTCTACGACGCCGCCGTCCATGCCGGCAACTTCAGTTCGGCCGGATTACTCGACAGCACCCGTCACTCTTGTGGCCACCTCGGACAACCGGATGGAGCACACTGCTCATGTCCGCACGGTGAGTGTCAGCACTTCCTGGGAGCACAGACGGAGGAGAAGGTCCAGACACCGGGAACCTCATCGGCGTCAGTCTCGCAGCCGCAGTCACCACACGTCCCACCGCCGCGTCTCCACTCCGAAGTACCCGCCGGCAGTCAAGGCCATGCCGGCGTGTCGACCATCGGGTCTCTCACCACCACGGCCTCTTGCTTCCCAGCCCCCACACATCGGACGCGAACCAGGACAGACAACGCCTACGACGCCTGACTCGGATTCTGATGGTTCAGTCCGTCCACATCCAGGTGCATCGTCGTTCCGCCCGTCTCCTACGGTGGTTCATGGACCTCGGGAACTTCTACAAGAATTCACCATTGCCCTTCGCAACGCGCACCTTGAACCTTTCACGGCATGGACACAGGGTGAGCTGGATGAGATGGTTCGACGGAAGAAAGACAAGGATTCCAGGCCTACCTACAAAACCATTGCCCGGTTCCTTCAGAAGCCCATTGAGGAAGTCAAGCACGCCTGGAAGGTCTATCAGCGACTTGAGGCTCGCGGCTAGGAAGCCGTGCATCAAACGAGCCAGCGACCACCGGAAGATTAGCTCGCGGGGCGTGGCGGTGCGGTGGGGGAGCGCTGCAGGTTGTTGTGATGGTTGGGATTGTAGTCATAACTGATCACATGAATTTGCTTGCTTGCACTTGCATGACATTTTGACCGGTGAAATACTGTTTGTTGTTGTGGGTGTTGCTGCTGACTTGGACTCAATGCATGGCCGAGCTGCTCAAATCATGTCGGAACAAGACGTGCAGACATACATTACTTGGACCCATGGAGCGCAGCCGACGTGGTTACAGTTTCACGGACCTGGCACCTTGCTTGACAGACCAATCCGGCAGACTACGTCACCTCCGCCCCCACCAAGATCCAATACTTCTTCCACCTCCGCCTCCCCCACCGCCACCACCACCGGTGATTCTACACCCACAGTTTATGCCCTCAGTGCGTACCACCTCGAACTCAGCTCCCCGAGGACAATCCTGCCCTGCCACATCGAAATCGCAGCGCACACGCCGCTCGATTTACAGCACTGACCATTCCCGTGATGATGATCCACGCAGTCCTGGGCCTTCCTCGAAACGCTCTCGAACAGCATCCGCTTCAGCACCGCGGAGATCTCGGCGACCCTTCACCGTGTTTCCCTCCAAGCGAGCCACCCGTCCATCGCTGTCCCCATCGGCAAATTGCAAGCATTACTGTCATGCCTTCCTACGTCATGGTCGGAAATGTCTTTCTCCATGTGCTCGTAGACGACCAGGACATTATCATTGCAGGTGTGTACGGCATCAGCGGCGGTGAAGCATAGGTGTCGTATATTACAAACCTCGCTGCTGTGTCTCACTTTCAGTTTCAAAAGTTGCCTTGCATTGCCTCGGTTATCACTCTTGCTGTGTGTGGTTGTCATTGCTTTAGTGTCTTCGCCGCAGATTTTCGAGTGCGTTCAGCCACAACCTGTCTTGCCGCTATGAATCCTCACTTTTTCGAGTACCAGATCGTGAGAGGAGTGGAATGGATTCGGATTTACTCACCGGGCACGTGGCGGCCCGTTCCCAATGATGCTATAGTGCAACCCCCAATCTACGCTTCCACGTATCGGGAGTGGCGCAGGTCATATCGCTTCCAAGTGTACTGGTCAGAAGACAGCACCGGAGGAACAACAGTGGACCCCGTCATCACGCCCAGTTCGTATGTGTCCTACCACGTCTGGGAGTACCGCGACTGGCAAACACGAGGGTATCAACGTCTTGGAGCTCCTGTAACAGCCATTGGAGGACTCATCTGTTCCGGATGGGGCGTGGCGGGAACCTTCACCGCCACCATTCTATGACCCTTGGAATGATTCGGAGTGATACTTTGGTAGCATGTCGGATAAAATGACGCGGTTGTTCCTGCGTTGAGTGCGATTCCATGTTGGGTTGTCTTGCTTTGTGTTGTGCGTTCCGTCTCCATGTGTTCGCCACTTTCCTTTATGACTTCAAGCGGCTTGCCTGGTTGATATGTTCAATTCTACAATGTATGGCGCTGCACGATGGGTCCTGCCACACTACTTTGACTACGACATCGTCAATGGCCCCGCGAACACAAGTGTTGAGTGGATTCGGATCTATGTACCGGGTCCGTGGCATCCAGTCGCCGAAAACACCTTGGGGCCAGCCCCGGAGGACTCAAACACCTATCGGGAGTGGCGCAAAGTATACCACTTCGAAGTGTATTGGCCAAGGGAGAGCACGGGCGGCACCCATATGGGTGCTGTTGCTCAGCCGGTCTCTTATGCATCCTTCTATACTTGGCATTATCGGGACTGGGTCACCAGAGGATATCAACGGCTGGGTCGTCCACACCCTAGCATTGCGCGTCCAGTTTTCGTTTCGGGTTCACCGGACCTCACGTACGCTGGACTGACCTCTTCGTCAGCATCTTCAAACTCAGATGGTGGCTGATGCTCGTCCTCGTCTTCCTGGGGAGTCTATTCAATTCAATTCGATTCAGGAGATGGACTTCAACAACTGAGCCGTGCATTGCTGCAAAAGTGATTGCTTGCGTGGTTGTTGTTGTGTCTCTTGCAGTGATTGTTGTCCGCAGCCGTACACCTATCAATTTGTCTTCCCGGGTTTGAATTGTCATGCCGTGGCTGGAATGGTGTCCGGATCCTCAACAACCAGATGCCCAGTGGGTCAAAATCTTTCATCCGGGATCATGGACTCCACATGAGGAAGATGATGCTCCACCTCCGCCTCACACATACAGAGAGTGGAAGGAGTTCTATGTCCCAAATCCGGATCAAGACGGTGCGCAGCCCAATGACAGCATGTGGTACAAAAGAGACTGGGCTACAGAGGGCTATCGGAGAGTCGCTGCCCCTCAAGCTGGTCATGACTTTGATTCGATGTCTTTTCCTGATCACCACAACGTTGCCACGCAATCCGCGGCATTGAGTATGTCACCGCAGATGTTGGAAGCGATTCTTAGATCATCGGATGCGGTTGGAAGCGATTCTTAGATCATCGGATGCGGCGGCTTTCTCCACTGAAGATCTGACTCGTCTCCAAGAGGGGATCTCTCAACAACTGTCAGATCGCGCACGTCATGCTTCCCACCCACACCAACCAGTACGTGCATCTCGTGGAATTCCACCACCGGAGACTGTTGGGGTCTCTGACCCATACCGGCCTGTGAATCCATCAGGCAGCACCACCGCCAAGGTCAAACCTATCTTCGAGCTAAATGATGACTAGACTCACGCGTGTTGGGCAAACTACAAAAAAGGGGTGGTTTTCATACTTGCACTACCTTGCTTGGTTGATGCTTGTGCATGGTTGTGCATGGTGCCTGTCTCTTTACTAGCTGGATCTGAACCCGCGATACGCCCTGCCTCTTACTTCGTCATGGACATCGAGGATGCGAAGCTTCACCCATGGCTCGAGTACTCGGTCTGGCAAGATCAGGAGTGGGTGCGGATATATACTCTACTCCAGGACAACCTCAACGGTGGAACCACGGAGACACTGTACCTGATCTACCAGACAATTCTTTTCGGGAGTGGCAGCGGGTAACTGATCCTAGTGGGCGTGCTGGTGAACACGGTCAGGCATGGACCATTCGCGACTGGCAACATCGATACCAACGCATTCTGTCTCGAAGTGAGTCCTTCACTACACAACATGCCCATGATCAATCACTTGGAGATGTTCGGAATTCCGATGCCATTCCTGTTGAGGAAACGTTCACCTATGCCACTCCTATTTCTGACGGTGATCGCTCGACTGTTTCTCAACTTGCTTCAGTCCTCTATGGCGACACTCGCAATGCTCATCGTGGTGATCTCTCGCTCCCGTCTTCTGAGCGGTTTAGGGCTGTTTCGCGTTCCCCTCGCCGCGGTGGATATTTTGGTCAACGATAGGAACACGAAGTGGAGCATGTGATCTTCCTGCCAAAAAGAAAAGAAGACTCCTCGCCCCTCATTGAGGGGCGTGTGTGTGCGGAGTGACAGAATACCCTGTCACCACCTTGGGTTGTTTTCGGAGGCAGGGGGCACGGCGCCTGATTTCCAAGCCGTGCCAACGAAGCTACGGAAATCGGGTGGAGGAGATGCTGGACGCAGCATCTTGTACCTGCATCAGTGATTCTGAATGTCTATTTGGCCCCTTGGTTGCGGCGCTGTTTGTGCTTCTTGTTCTTTCGGGTAACGTGTTCGCTGCTAGACGGAAGCCAAGTGATTGCAAGTCGATCCTACTCGAAACTCATCAGTTGTACTCGAGACTCATCAGTTGTACTCGAGACTCATCAGTTGTACTCGAAAGATTAGCACTCTCCATTTGGAGTTCAAGTGTGTGCCTTCAAGTTTCAACAATGGCTTGATGCAGTATCCCAATGTGTGTCCTTCCAGCAAAAGCACCCCACGCAACCTACAAAATGGCCGGAGCTCTTCCAACTCTTTCGATGTTCCACCAGCGGGTTTTGGTTCAAGAACCTTCACTTCCTCCTATCTGGGCACACACCTCTCCCAATCCGCTGGAGGCCCAGGTCTCACTTGCAGCAAATGGCACTGTTTTAAAAATGTTGAAATGAAACCAGCGCCATCTATGTTCAACTGAATCGCAAGGACGCCTATGGTTTCAGCCCAGAAACCCCGCTGACTTGCCCTTGTGTCGCTTGTGTCGATGTTTACCCTGGCCTCCGTCTGCTCAGCGGTTCTCGCGGAGCCAGAGGGGCCGTCCAGCTGCAGCAGCAGCTCGTAGTCTTCGGAGGTAAAGTCCCGACCCTCGCCGCGAGGGCATCATATGCGAGGGGCCAAAGTGGTCGACAGTTCTCCAACTACAACTTCCAACCTGAAAAGCATGATTCAGACGGGTGATTTAACTTCATGACCAAATATTCCCTTAAAACTTTGCCAATCCAAAGGAAACTCACTTTGAAAGGGCGACCAAAAGGTGATGTTTGCGGTAGAGGTTATTTTTTCCTGGCAACATCCGCAGCATCACCAGACTCACTTGGACTGGAGTTGCCTATTGGCTGTGATTGGGTGGCAGTTGGGAGTTGCTGGGGGCTGGTTTGATTTGGGGGGGGGTTAGGCTGGCTTAGATCTTCATGAGGGCGGGTCTTGGGGTGGCTTGGGGTTGATTTAGGCGAAGCGACGGGCTGACATCCAGGCTGCCGGGTTTAGGATTGACTTTGGATGGATTTGGGGTTGGCTTGGAGCTGATTTTGTGTTGGGTGTGCTGCTGGTTAAGCGGTGCCTTTAGGGTTGCTTTTACGTGAGTTTGGGTCTCGTTTTAGGACTAGTTTTGGAGCGTTGCCCCAAACCATCCCAAAACTCGTCCTCACAAAGAGGAACGCTCTCCCAGTTCCCCACAGCGCATATTCGAAGCCGAGCCGCTGCCAGGAGCCGCCTTTGCAGCTGCTGCTGCAGCGAGCCGTCTGAGCCCGGTGCCTCGGATGGGAAGATGTTGGCAAGATGGGAAGGAATCAGTGTTCAAAATGTTTGAGAATTCGAGCACTGATTGAGAACTGAAGTCTGTCAAGCAAACAAAATCTGGAACTACATGTTTGTTGAATGCACGCAAGGCTGGAAAGACGCCATCTCTTTGTGCCGACCCTGGGCCAACCAAGAACTCCTCAGGCCACGGAAGTCACTTTGCCAACGTGAACTCAAGACTTTGCGGGCCGAGCTCAAGGGATGAGCCCCTTCCATTGACCCTAACGAATCTAACGGGTCTATGTAAACGAGGCCCACCATTTCTCTCCACCGTACCCTGCTACGTTCGGATTGCTGCAACGGCACAGGCCAGTAAGCTGGAAGGGGGGATAATTAAACCAGCACTGAGGAGTTCATACAAGTAAACATGGACTTCTTGCTTGGCAATAGAACATGGCAGAACCAGTCCGACATGTCCAGTCTACAACATTGAGAAATAGTCCGAGACAAAATTGACCGAGGAAATACAAGCTGGTTGGTTCTGCGTGGGAGAGTGTCCCATGTCAGAGGGGAACAACGCCTATTAACCGCCCGGTTCTACGAACCATCTTCCTTCCAGTCAAAAGCCCATGCCAATTGCCCGCTCCAGGCACCTGCCGCCCCCTGGCCGGCGCGTAAGCTGGCAGCATTTCCAGAGCCGCCCAAGCGTCTGACCTGCGCAGAGCAAAGCGAGGAAGGCCAAATCACTCCGTGGGATCAACAAATCAAATACAAAATCATCTTAACCTCTTGGGCCAGGCGCGGAAGAAATCGACAGAATCCGAGTAGAAAATGCATTCAACGGATCCCAACGCCTGGCAGCAGTGTCCAGGAAGGGGCTGAAAGCCACCTCTCCGCGACCTCGAGCTCAAGGGATCCGCAGGGGCAGCGCACGTGCTCGCTTTCTGTGAGAATGCCCACCCTCCATCTCAGTCTCCATGCGGAAACCCCAAAATGGACGGCCTCACATCGGCTTGCCTTTGGCTTAACAGAAATATGATGAGGTTGCAAAGCGGCGCAGCCCGCTCTGCTATTGCACTCTTTGCGCAAATGCGCCCGCCAAAAAACAGGCATGCCAATATTGGGCAGGAGAACCGCCCTTGGCAGTCATATGGTAATAGTAATGGCGACCAAACGAACCGAAAGCTAGGAGGGGTCTTCACATCCTTAAAAAAACGATGGTGGTGTATATGAAATTACTGGATTTCATTGCCCAACGAGGACATGGCAAAGAAGCAAGTGAATAGAAATGAGTCCAACCCCCCCCCCCCCGCCCCTCAATCGACAAGCAACATAATCACTTCTGCTCTTCCCTCAAATTGCCCCAACACTCTCCCCAAGTTTCTGCTTGAAATCCACATAAACACTCTGCGACAAGCTCAAATGGATATCACAAATGTGCTTTCCGTGGTTGATACCCAAAGAATGTTCGATCAAAATGGATCATCCTTTTGGCCGGAATCCCTTACAACTCCCAAGGTTTGGTTGACATGTCAACGTGATGATGTAAGGTGATCAGGTGGCTTCAATCCCTGTTGAAGCTTGTTTGAAGCTCCAGGATCTTGAATGATTTGACGGTGACACACACACACACACTTAGCAAACACCAGTCGGAGGAAATAGTCTGCTTCAATGAATCTGCCGAGAAATCCAAGCCCTCCAAATCGCGCACCGCACCGTTCGGTCGTCTTCCACATCCGCCCAGGCCTCCCATTTTGAA